ACGTGTGTGTGTGACCTTGTGTGTGTGAACTTGTGCGTGTGTGAGACCTTGTGTGTGTGAACGTGTGTGTGACCTTGTGTGTGAACTTGTGTGTGTGAACTTGTGTGTGACCTTGTGTGTGTGACCTTGTGTGTGTGACCTTGTGTGTGTGAACGTGTGTGTGTGAACTTGTGTGTGTGAACTTGTGTGTGACCTTGTGTGTGTGACCTTGTGTGTGTGAACTTGTGTGTGTGAACTTGTGTGTGTGAACTTGTGTGTGTGTGAACTTGTGTGTGAACTTGTGTGTGTGAACTTGTGTGTGACCTTGTGTGTGTGAACTTGTATGTGTGAACTTGTGTGTGTGAACGTGTGTGTGTGAACTTGTGTGTGTGTGAACTTGTGTGTGTGACCTTGTGTGTGTGTGAACTTGTGTGTGTGAACTTGTGTGTGTGTGTGTGCGTGTGTGCGTGCGTGTGTTGTTCTGGTGGTGCCGGAGCGTCTCCGTCTTATTTCATTCGCTTGTAACCGGCCAGCAGTTGTGTGTCCTAAACTCACTGCGTGGAATCCACATTTGGGAGTGAGTCCCCACGGCGGCCCCTGTGTGTGTGCCTGTGTGTACACGTGTGTTCACACCCGCACCCCATGCACGCGCCACCCTTGCAGGTCCGCACGCGCACCCCGAATGCCTCTTTTTCTATCTGTGGTTAAGGAAGAGTGCGGCACCTCTGGTGCCTGCAGTTGCTATGAGGGCCAAGCCCGGGGCAGAGACCCCAGCCCAGACACACTCCACAGGAACCAGAGCCCGCAGAGGGCCGGGCAGGGGTGAGCAGCCCTAGTGGCCAGGAATGGGGACTGCAACCTACAAAAATGGCCTGGAACTCTCCATAAAGCCAGCGGGGGACACTGAGGCTCAGGGCCAGGCGGCGTGGCGCACACCCCTAACTCCTAGCTCCACACAAGCCTGAGACCTAGAGAGTGATAGTTCGAGGCCTGCTCAGGCAGAACAGTGCTTGAGACTCCAGCTAGAATGAAACAGAAAGCCAAAACCTGGACTGGAGGCATTGTGTAAGCGGCAAAATGCCAGCTGGGAATGAGGAAGCCAAGAGAGCCGAAGGTCCCGAGTTCCAGTTCCAGTACGGCCAAATGAAAAAGAAAAGAATGAGAGACATGGGATTTTCATCTCACTGTCAGGTGCTAGACAGAGTGCTCCCACAAAGCACAAGTGTTGTCCTGCACCAGAGGATCCCCCCCCCAAGATGACCCCCTGAAGCCAGAGCCCTGGGCCCTGCGTCAGACCAGGATGGGGGTTCTGATTGCTCATAACCAAGTCTGGTTCACAGTGGAGTCTAACTGTTGCCCCAGTACTTACAAAGAGCCTGCCCAGCCTGAGGTACAGAAATGAAGGGGGCTTTAAAAAAAAACAAAACAGATTTGTTGCCAGGTTGGGCACTGGTGGCTCACGCCTGTAATCCCAGCTACTCAAGAAACAGAGATCTGGAGGTTCAATATTTGAGGCCAGCCTAGAGCCCCCTCAAAAAAGGTTCATGAGACCTCATCGCAAGTGAAAAAGAGAGGCGCATGGTGGTGCACTCCTGTTATCCCAGCGACTTGGAAAGTGTAAATAGGAGGATCACAGTCCAGGCTAATAACAAAAGCAAGAAGGGCTGGAGGCATGGCTCAAGTGGTGAAGCACCTGCCTTGAAAGCATAAGGACCTGAATTCAATCCCTAGTCCAGCTAAAAAAAAAAAAAGACATGGTTTATGAATAAATGGTCCTTTTCCCTTTCAGCATTAACAAGAATATAATAATAACTATAATAATACTAGGCAGGTCTTTCATTATGACCCGGTCTGTATTTGGTGCTGGGCATAGAGCACAGAGCCTTGCACCCCTGGGAGCCCCGCCCCCAGCCCCTCAGCAGCCGCCTTGGGCTCAGAGACAGTGGTCGGCCTGGGTTTATGCTCAGAGAGGTTCAGTAGTTTTCCCACGGTCACACAGAGCTGGCCAGCAGTGAGCTGGGGTTCAAAGCCAGGCGTGGATGTGGTAGCCCAGCCCCTCCTCTGTTTCTGGGATCATTTGCGCAGAGAGTAGAATCAGGAGTGGAAAGCTTTTACAATTCCAGATGTGTGTGTGTGTGCACGCGCGTGTGTGCGTGTGTGCACATGGGTGCTGGTGGTGGGGCTTGTGCTCAGGTCAGCCGTTTGTCCATGGGGAGTCGCGCTGGGTCACTGTGCGCCCAGTGCCCCATCCACACACACCCCCTCCAGCCTTCCCCCCCTGAGGCGGTGAAGTCTTGGCCTCCATGCCTCCCTGGAGGCCCAGCCTCCAAGGCTGGGCAGCTCAGACAGCCAGGGTTTGGGTGGGCCAGGCAGGGGTTGGGGGGACCAGATAAGGGTGCACAGCCCAGGCTTGGGGCACAGAGACACAACCTCTGCGAACTTGCAGTCTGGACCACCACCGTGGTCTAGCTGTGTGACCTCAGGCTGTGGGTCTGTGGCGGCAGCGGCAGGGCACAGGGGAAGCACTGGGGCAGGTGGAGCCTGGCGCCCAGCCTAAAAGCAAAACAAACGCACACACACCGGCCTGGGCTGGGCTGGGCGGGAGCTGCCCGGGGCCCTGGCAGCAGCCAGTTCCCAGCACCCCTGATTTTGAGAAGGAGGGGGTGACAGTGGCCAGAGCTGGATGGGGTGCACGGCTGCTGGAGAGACCCCTGGGGGACCCCGCTTGCTGCCCCCAGGTCGGGGATGGGGGTTCGACCTGGCCCAGGACTAGTGTTCCAGCCACTCAGGAGGCTGAGAGCTGAGGATCCAAGTTTGAAGCCAGCCCAGGGTAGGAAAGTTCCTGGAGACTCTCAATGAACCAGCGAAAAGCCGGAAATAGGGCTGTGGCTGGAGTGGTAGAGCACCAGCTTTGAGTGAAAAAGCTTAGGGACACAGTGCCCAGGCCTGACCCCAGGAGAGGTGCAGAAACACGAGAAAAAGCCGAGAGCGTGAGGTCCTGAGTTTAAGCCCTTTTACTCACACTTACACACACACGCACGCACGCATGCACGCACAGTATATGTCCAGCCTACTGAAATGCCTACTGGGTGCTGTCCGTTATGAACGCTGGCCCTGGCGACATCGAGGGACGGAGGGAGGAGGAGGGGAATGGGAAGCTTTGAAGGTCGTGGGGAGACGTGTAGGTTTTATATTCTAAGTGACATAGGGCGCCATCACTAGCGCCTCACAAGAAATCTGCAGGACCCCATTTGTCAGAAGTTCTGAAGTGAAGAAAAGAAAGAGGGAGAGGGAAGGGAGGAAGGGAGGGAGAGAAGGCAGGAAGGAAGAAAGGAAGGAAGGGTGGGTGGACGGACAGGCATGGTGCTGCACGCCTGTAATCCCAGCACTCAGGAGCATGGCAGCTGCCAGGCCAGCTGTGACGTGTGAGTATGGGTTGTGTAGATGAGAGTTTGGGCGCCAGGTCCTGTGTTGTGGTTGGAAACGAGAGAGGACCTGGAGAACTGAGCGTGGGCCACGCAGGGGCCGGGGGACACTTTGGGAAGAGAAAAGCAGGCTGGCAGGACAGAGGTGGCTGTGTGTGGCGCTGCGTGGCGGGTGCTGGGCCCCGTGGTCCTCACTCCAGGCCTGGGGAGCCTCAGGCCCCCCCCCACACCCCCCACCCCCCTTTGCTGGCTTCTCTCT